TGAGGACTATTAAATACCTTTATTGATGAGGACTATTAAATACCTTTATTGATGAGGACTATTAAATACCTTTATTGATGAGGACTATTAAATACCTTTATTGATGAGGACTATTAAATACCTTTATTGATGAGGACTATTAAATACCTTTATTGATGAGGACTATTAAATACCTTTATTGATGAGGACTATTAAATACCTTTATTGATGAGGACTATTAAATACCTTTATTGATGAGGACTATTAACTACCTTTATTGATGAGGACTATTAAATACCTTTATTGATGAGGACTATTAAATAACTTTATTGATGAGGACTATTAAATACCTTTATTGATGAGGACTATTAAATACCTTTATTTATGAGGACTATTAAATACCTTTATTGATGAGGACTATTAAATACCTTTATTGATGAGGACTATTAAATACCTTTATTGATGAGGACTATTAAATACCTTTATTGATGAGGACTATTAAATTATTTTATTGATGAGGACTATTAAATACCTTTATTGATGAGGACTATTAAATACCTTTATTGATGAGGACTATTAAATACCTTTATTGATGAGGACTATTAAATACCTTTATTGATGAGGACTATTAAATACCTTTATTGATGAGGACTATTAAATACCTTTATTGATGAGGACTATTAAATACCTTTATTGATGAGGACTAATAAATACCTTTATTGATGAGGACTAATAAATACCTTTATTGATGAGGACTATTAAATACCTTTATTGATGAGGACTATTAAATACCTTTATTGATGAGGACTATTAAATACCTTTATTGATGAGGACTATTAAATACCTTTATTGATGAGGACTATTAAATACCTTTATTGATGAGGACTATTAAATACCTTTATTGATGAGGACTATTAAATACCTTTATTGATGAGGACTATTAAATACCTTTATTGATGAGGACTATTAAATACCTTTATTGATGAGGACTATTAAATACCTTTATTGATGAGGACTATTAAATACCTTTATTGATGAGGACTATTAAATACCTTTATTGATGAGGACTATTAAATACCTTTATTGATGAGGACTATTAAATACCTTTATTGATGAGGACTATTAAATACCTTTATTGATGAGGACTAATAAATACCTTTATTGATGAGGACTATTAAATACCTTTATTGATGAGGACTATTAAATACCTTTATTGATGAGGACTATTAAATACCTTTATTGATGAGGACTATTAAATACCTTTATTGATGAGGACTATTAAATACCTTTATTGATGAGGACTATTAAATACCTTTATTGATGAGGACTATTAAATACCGCTGTGGCACAATGGTCGGAGGGCTTTGTGATACACTCCGTCATTTGCCGATACAGAAACAGCCGCAGTTCTATTCCGGCTCTACATGCTCCCGGCACGTCAAGCGAAACGTTGGACAAACAGCACATAGCGGCACAACTCTGATACACATCGAGAGCTGTGTACGGCTCAAACCGCCAAAATACTGCACAATAGAAATGGCAGCAGTTTAGCATTTGTCACGGGGCATTTTACAGGTCCCCTCAAAGACTCCGCTGCCTGCTGATGATGAGAGGGCCCTTTGTCCAGGTCCCATTCTCGGGTGCCACTCGCCAGACCGGTACCGGCACGCACAGAGTGCACGGAGCGTCGCGCCCCCTTCATACGAGCAGCCTCTCACAGCGGGGTGAGCGGACCGTGTCCGGGCCTGGGCGTGCGTGACGCGCTCCGGGTTCATTGCTGCTGACATGAAACCCTGGCTGCAGCAGCAGCAGCAACGATGACAGCAGAAGAGCATCATCGATGACAGCAGCTGTGTGAAGCTGGGCACCGGCATCTTGGTTCCTTCCCCTGGGCGCCCGGAGAGGCGACGTGGAGGATAAGGGATCCGGCAACTCCTCACATCCATGCTTCCTTCTTCCCCATCGTCAACACTGCACAGCCAGGCGAAGTTGTTTCTATTCTGTTCATGCGAATGGTTAGAAATGCTGCGTCCCAGGTTGAACAAAACGTTGAGATGGAGCGATGAGATTGGCTCGTGTGTCGATGCCAAGTGGATCGTTACGTCACAGGACCCTGAGAGATGGCAGCAGCTTGGGTAGACTTTCATCCAGCAGTCGATTGATCACAGCTGATTTTGATGATGATGAATACTCACAAATACATATGTGACGTACAATTGCACTACAATTAGTAATAATTATTTACAAATCCTTGTCCAATCCACTGCTGAATGAACGCCTTCCCACTGCTGTCGTCCAATGGGGGTTGTTTGACCATACTTCGCCGTACCAGTCAATGCGTGTTGGTGAAGGGGGGCATGGCCGGGGCCGCTTCATAGATGATGCGCTGCTCTTCGACCCCACAAATTGCACAACTCGCTACTGGGAGTGAGCATGCAGAGTGAATAATGTTGATGACAATGTAATTTTGCGTGCGGTTTGATATAAGTGTCTGGGGCTTAGTGTGAGGCTGGGGAATACGTGCGTTTTGTTGTCCAGAGCGTTTTTTAACGCATCAAAGCGCCGCGCGCTCAAAGAATTCGACGGGGCCCGGTAGAACTGAGCCACGCGCCCTGCGCCGTGATGTCGGTGGGAGGCGGCGATGGCTTTGGAGGTCGCCGAGCAGAGCTGGGGGAGCACGGGGATGAGGTCGCGACCCTTCGTCCCGCGCCGTAGCGGAGGAGCCGTCAATGCCAGAGGCCCGGTTACTTCGCCGAGAGGGCGTTCCGTAGCGGCTAATTTATTTGGTGTTGGCGTGACCCCCGGCGTTCGCCGGAGACTGCTGGGAGCTGTGGGGTGGAGTGTTGTGGCCGTGACGGAGCTTCGCTGTGGCTCTGAATTTTATAAAATCGTCTTCTGTCGTACTTGCGCCGAGTGGATCGGTGACGTTTATCCGTTCGTTGAGGCTGCTGAGCGAGCCGGTGGACGATTTCAAGGTGTGGTCGCACGGTGAATTTCTGGAAATGTGAAATGACATTGTCAGGAAACGTTGGGTGCCAAAGCGTGCTGATAATGATTGATAAGCGTAGGATGACAGGACAGTGATGCAGTGTCCTAGACGTAACGTAATTTAAAAATGATCAACCCTTTACTTAGAGATAATACGTGAATATGTACATTAACAGTCCCTTCCTTGAACGGTCTTTGCGCGTGGGAGAGATTTATCTCTTTGTGTCCGTACAAGGTTAAGTAAATGTCGTTGCATGCAGCTGATTCGGGGGGCTACGATGGTGACTCTCATTGCTCACTGTTAATAAAACAGGTGGCGTGCGTGTGATTTATTTGGTACGTGTCAGCTCCTCACTCTCAACGATAATTACGGAGGCAAAGTATTTGCTGCGTACGATTCTTATGAGCGCGGGGTCGACCGTCTCAGCATTTCGCTCCACATGCTGATTAGCACAGTTGGCTACGTACGGTGCGAAGGAAGTTAAACATCCGTACATTTGATACAGGATACGAAATGGGCCGCCCCGTACAATAGACCCCATCTACGTAGCCCGGCGCCTCGGCCACTCCAGCACATGGGCCCCCGTGCAGGTGCACCGCCTGTACACTTCACACCTACGCCGCTGTGCGGTTGGATGCGTTGATAAACTCCCACTGTAAGCTGCGGGAATTTGCCTGATGGTCCAGCACGGCGTGCCATCTCTGTTTTCAGTTTCTCTTTTGGGGTAGTAAGTTGATTTTAGCGTTTACATCTGCACGTAATGGCTCCTCGCTATGACATCGGCGTGAATGAAATAAAAAATTAAATTACGAACGAAATGATAAATTGGCTACGTCGAACCGCCCCGCGGATGTGCCAGCGGTAGCGTGGCAAGGCACGCGCTTGATTTGCACCGCACACGAGCGCCGCTTTCCATTTTTGTTCCGCGAGGCGTCGAAGGAGAGAATGAGTCGCCGCGTGCGCCGCTCATCCGTGCCGCTGTCGGAGAGGGAGGCGGAAGCGGCGCCTCGCAAACTGCGCTGGAAGTGGGCGCTCTGGGATGCAACGAGACCAAACGGACACCACGGTGGCTATGAGATGTTAACTCCTTCGCCTGGTGTGCAGGAGATCGTGGGTTCGATCTCGACTTTGACGCCTATTTGTATATTTTGAGTTTGCGTGTCTCTCTGTCCGTGGCCACGTGGATTTTCCGCCAGGTCCTGCGGTTTTTCTCTCCACATTTAGAATCAACGTTCGTTTGTTGTATTTGGCTACTATAAATTTCCACATGATGATAAGCCACTTCGGTGAGCTATCATATGTGGCCAGGTCGCTTCTGAAAATAACTACATAGCTCAATGGGCCCTACCTGCTAAAATAAAAAAATAATTTAGTCTCAAAGTTGCGACTCTCTGCGTCGTGCATCACAATAGAAACCACGCACTCGGCGACCGTTCAATCAATACGGCTGTCCTTCATGTTGCATAAAACTGCGTGTGCGCCTGTGAGCTGTGGTGCCAGTGAGGTTTATCCGCCTGCCGTGGCCCCGCATGCATTGTGGACACTGACCCGAAGGTTGTTTTGAAATTACAAAATTACCCCGAGCACGCCCGGTCTCGTGAGATGTCTGCCACTGAGTTGGGTTGAGCCTGGTTAGTACTGTCTGGCAGTGCCACGCGTTGTAGGTGTGCGCTGTGCAGTAGCCGAGATGTGGATTCTTTGTGAAATCCCTGGGGCTTTGAGCATTATCCCTTCACGGTTTCTCTGGATGCTCCGGTTTCCTCCCACATTCCAAACGATGATTAATGGAATTGTGCAAACATCTCAACGTAGTGCTGATAATCAGCGAGGCGTTTGTTTCTGGATAAACCAAATAATAATAATTCTTACAAGTCTCACAATGATTTAAACACTGACTTGTTATTAATTCATGTTTCTTTTTGACCAATTGCATACGAACTTGCGATGTTTTGTTGTAAAAAATGTCAGCTGTAACGAAATGGAAACCCTGCGAGACGCGTCCACTCATCAGACCTGCACGTGTCTTCTGCAGCCTCCCGAGTGCCGTGCGGGGGAGCGAGCGATCGGCACGGGCGAGGAAGGCGTGGAGACGGTGGGAACGTGCGGGTAACGTGGCCACGGGTAACCGCGTCGCTTCGCCTGGGTCGCTCCGTATGTCGTGCGGAGATGTTCGCCAAGTCACAATTCGTCGGGAATTGTGACATCGCACTCTGCAAGGAGGAGGGAGTCCTCTTTTGTGATGCCGATAACATTTTCCTTCCCTTGGATCCAGCTCCGTTGTTGGGGACGTCCGGAATGAACTGCGTCCACCGAAGGAACCAAGTCAAGTCCCTGGTATCGGTCCCGTAGCGTGAGTCCTGCTGCAAGCGATGAAATGGGGCCTAGAATGTCCAATTCCCCTACGGGCCGTGTGCCCCGGTGCAGTTACACTGCCTGCGCACTCGCTGGCTACAGAACCGGTAGCACAATGGTCGATGATTCGGCCATTCCAATAAAGCTTCTCATAGACTAAACGCGGTACTAATTGCACGTTTTATAAACTTGCACTGTTAACGATTAAGGCCGGGTATTAGCGAGCTAAGCCACAGCGGCTTGCCGCTGGATTATTTAATAGCGGCTCTGTCTGAGTCACCACACAAGAGGCTGCTTGATGCATGCATTCCTATTCCATCGGCGCGCTTTAATGCACAATGAAGGCATCGCACTCGCTGCGCGCACACAACACGGAGTGTTTGCAGCCTTGTGGGGAGGAGAGCGCGAGCGTGGGGGTGCGGGGAAGCCAAACCGACTGCTGCCCTCCCTGCTGCCGGCATCTTCCATAGACGGCGGGACAGTCGCACGCCGCGCGGCGCACGGGGAACCTTCCTCGCCGACATCTTGCAGGAGAAAAAAACATACAAAAACAAAACGATGGGACTGATAAAATTGTTTAGGCGAGTCGCCTTTGGGAAGGTCTACATCTAGCAGTGGGTTGATCATGGTGGTGGTTAGGGTTGCCACCACGACGGTGGAATATCGCTACAATACGGGAAGAGGAACACACTGTGGCTCAGACGTCATGTTATTTGCACTCGGGCAGATGGGAATTTAAAAAAAATGTTTACGTGATTAATTCCGGCAGTAAAGATTCCTCTGCTTAGTAGGAGAGGGTTAAATCAGGCGGTACAATTATATCTGTGATGTTTAATATTGTTCATGTTTAATTTCGTCGCTCATTCACTTGTTGGAGGTCTTCCAGAAAAATTACGAGATGTGAAATGTGTTTTACACAATGTGAATTGTGCGTGTGTACATACACACAATGTGCATTGTGTGTGTGTACATACATCACTTGCTCGTTGCGTTATTCTGTTGAACTAAAAGTGCAGTGCAAACGCTTTTAGCGGCAACGAGAGATGAAAAAATGGCAACACATTTTGTAATTTTACGTGGAGCCATTGCGATTGGCAACATCATTTTGAGCGTTGTAGGTAAGCAAAATGTTGACAATTGTGTACGAGGTTCCGCTGGAGACGGCACCTAGCAGCCCGGCACTCGCGAGCGCTGCGCTTGAGATTTAAACATTTCTTCTCTGGATCGCTGAAAAACCAAATCAATTTCCATTTTTTACCCACGCGACAATTTTATTTTATTGGCGCTGTTGAGCGGCAGAGGGCAGAGATGAAGACCGGCATGAGACCTGCGCGGCCATCCATGCAAAGGGATCGTGAAATGTGAATCATGACGTTGGGTCGTGAAAGCCTCTGCGTAAGCTTGAGAATTGGCGACTGCCTGTTCACTTGAACGACGTGCCCGCGCTACTTTGAGGCTCCTGGAGCGAAAGAGATTTTACAAACGAGTCAAGAAACAATACAGAGGAGAAACAGTAGAAATTATTTTTTTATTGAATTGCAACCTCGCATCGTTGCAAATCCTTGGATCTCTAAGAGGTCAAATCGTTGAATGTTAATTGCTAGCAAGCGCATACCATTCTCTGTGCCATTAATGAGTCGGGCGACAACAATACCATCAGACGAAGCCTGCGCAGCGCCACGCGTTCCGCCCCATGGTCTAATTCCCTCCCGTCGTCTCTCTTCCCATGTTCTCATCTTAGCCTTGCTTGATTCCACAAATAATCTCTAGCTCTTGCCCCTGATAACTCTCATAACACTGTTTGCTGCTGGCCGTTCGGCGATTTTGGCCCCGGGGCCTGTTGCTAGGAGATGTGAACTCCCTCGCCTGGTATGCAGGAGGTCATGGGTTTGATCCTGACCCTAACACCTGCTGTATATTTGGAGTGTGCACGTTCTCCCCGTGGTTGCTTGGATTTGTCTCCTGGGCCTCCTGTTTTTCCCTCCATATTTAGAAACATGCGTTTGAGAGTATTCATCCTGCTATACATTCCCACGTGATAAGCCACTTCGTTGAGCTATGATTTGTGGCCAGATCACTTCCGAAAAAGAGCTATATAGCTCAGTGGGCCTTACCTGGTTAAATAAAAAAAAGTTTGAATAGTTTAATTAACTTGCCACTGCCATTGATGATCCTCAAGTGGACTGCCCGCTCGTCTCCGCGATCCATCGCGAGCGAGTCGCCACTGTCCCTGTGTTATTGTTGTTTGCTGGGAAGTCGGGGCTCACGGAGCTGCACGACGCAGGAAGCACTGCGGCTTGGATCTCAGCCTCAATAATTAATTAGGGACATTATCGGCCGTGATTTGCTCGTCAGCTTGTTAGGAGAGAGCGGGCGCCATCGTCACGCACGGGCATCGCCGTGCGGCGGCTGTCCTGTAGAGGTGTTCACAACACTTGGTACTGAGACGGAGATAGCCCCCGTTTAGCTGTAGAGAAAGTGCTGTTAGGGAGCACTGACTCGTTCCTGCTACAGGAATGTGGAATTCCCCAGCACTTGCTCAGGACTGTAACCGTGAGATGGCCACCGCCTCGATGGTCATAGAGCAGGAGATCGCTCTCTGGCTGTTGACTTTGACGATTCAAAACGTGCACAGTTCGAGGCGATGAGCGGCTATCGCGTGGGGGAGGCGTTGAATGCCACGCCGCAATCGGTATTGCGGTGCCCGGCTCGGTGGCGGATGGGGCCTCTGGGCTCCCGCGTCCCCTTGCTCTGCACGAGCGCGAGCAGCTGTCGCACGTTGACGGACCGGCGCGGCGCTTCCGTGGCCGACAAGTGGAACGGAGTAACCGTACCCTGCACGCTGCCACAGCGGTGTCGTGGTGAGCCCGTCTGTGCTCACGTCTGTGCTCGATTCAATCTCCCGGCGCGGCAGTTGTGACGACGGTGCGGGCTGCCCAAATGTCGGCCTCCGTCTACCCGGCGGTATCGATCGATGCACCGCGGTTATCGGCAGGTCGCGTGTGGTGGGGTGTTTCAACCTCTTCCAAAATGCGTGGAAGAATCGGGGAAGAGATGCCCTTTAGTGCTCGCGCTTGTGAATGCCCTTCTGCAAGCAGTGGCGTGAGAAAATAATTGCAGGACTGCACCTTTGCCGTGAGCTATCCTAGGGGTGTGCGCGCGGCGGGGGCTGAGTGGTGTGTGGGTGGTCGGTAGCTGCAGCAGCGTCAGTTGTCTTTATAGTTCCCCTGCGCCTATCATCTCGCCGCACAGCAAGTGAGTTACTTCGTAAAATACTTTTATATATATAAAGCATACATCGTGAAGTGTGTTTTTTTTTAATTGCGTGCTTACGTTAGGGCCCACAAGCGAAATGACTGAGGCCATCTCATGGTGATGTTTTGCATGATGAAAGAACCTCCGTGAAGCTGTATCTGGTTATTGAGATTGTAAAAGGAAACATCGTGAAGATTTCTCAATTCCACCGCAATGTGCTGCAATGTGCGACGGTGGGGGGCGACTCTCGCCGCGCCCCGAGTGCGCTTCCTCCCCGCGTTGACATTTGCTGAAAAGACGCTAAACGCCGCGGCTCGTTTGAGCGACGAAGCGTGCCTGATGTGCGCCGACGCGGTTCATCTGGCAGCCCACCCCACGCGTTTCGGTGTTTCTGAAAACCCTCGGCGTCGTCTGTCGAGCGTAAACCTCCTCCTGTGAGCGGATGATCGAAATCAAGAGGTGACCGTGGGGACCGCACCTCGCCAACGCCTTCCACCCTCTGCCCAGTCGACACAAGCTCAGTCGCCCGTCGTCCACCCCGGGGTCTTCCCGCTGGATCTCCGCACTCGTGAAGACGGCTCCATTGCCCGTCCCACCAACCGGCCTCCCGCCATCCCGCATACGCTCCGCCCAGCGCAACCGTCTCTTGCCTGATCCTGTCTGCACCGCTTTGTGGGGAAGTCGACGATGGTTTCCCTTTGGAGGGACTTGCCCCTGGCATAGGAATGTGGAATTTCCACCACTGGCTCAGGACTGTAACCAGGAGATGAGCGCACCGCCTCAAGGCTCATTGGCGCCGGAGATCAGTTTGACTTTTGTTTACCTGCCACGTTCTCCTCCGGCCTTGCGCTTTGCTGAGTGGACGAGCGAGCCCGGGCCAAGTTTCGGGGACCCGGCCGTAGTGGGGAGGGGGCTAAATGCCTCTGTCCCGCAGCTTCGTTTCGACATAAATTGCTTTCCCGTTCCGAGACCCTCCCAGTCCCTCTGTCCTCGCATGTTCCTCAAGCGGCCCCACGGATATCTTGCGACAGCTGATTTGTGAGAATTGACGATTACTCACTTAGGAAGTTCCATATTGTTCTTATTATTACTCTTGTTTATCCATAAAAGCCTCACCGAGTTTTCACAGTAGGGGGCGATGTTGCGGTGCGTGATCACAATTGAGTAAGTTTCAGGTAATGTTTTAGCGTTGGGATTTATGGCCAATACTCGTGACATTGTACGTGTCTTTTCGCTATAGGGGGAACACAGAGAGGGCCAGGAGGAAATCCATGGAGAACATTGGGAGAGAGGGAACATACAAAGGCACCTGAATTGGGAATCAAACCCAGGCTTTCTAGCTGTGAGGCCACGAGTGTTACCACTGCACCTGCTTGCCACCACCCAGAATTGGGACCGCTAGGAGGTTCTAAACGAGGTCTCTGTTTGTCTGAGGCAGGGCGTCCTGGCTTTGCTTCCTCTTTGTGTGCTCACGCCACGAGTGGGTGGCACGGCCAGCGCTTCCAATCCGGAACGGCTCCCATGATGCACGGCAGTTGCATCAACATGTCCCCTGGTAACGATGCTAAACCGGGTAATTTTTTTTCCGCGAGATATGGTAAAATAAAAATATGCTCGAACCTGGTTAAACAAAACTGTTTAATTAATTATTATTTATTGTTCAATTATAACTGCAACATAAGTCAGGCAAGTCAAAATAAAACGTTGAAAATTCACATCAGGCATTGACCTAAATCCACATTT